AAAACTCTAATTTGAGTGTTCATAGCAGCATTATTTACAATAGCCAAGATATGGAAGCAACCTAAATGTCCATTGACAGATGAATGGATAAAGAAGATGTGGTATATATAAATAAACACACACACACACACACACACACACACACACACACACGGAATACTACTAAGCCATAAAAAAGAATGAAATATTGCCATTTGCAGCAACATGGATGGACCTAGAGAATATCATACTAAGTGAAGTAAGTCAGACAAAGACAAATATTATAACCACTTACACGTGGAATCTAAAAAATAATACAAATGAATCTATTTACAAAACAGAAACAGACTCACAGACATAGAAAACAAATTTAGGGACTTCCCTGGTGGCGCAGTGGTTAAGAATCTGCCTGCCAATGCAGGGGACACGGGTTCGAGCACTGGTCCAGGAGGATCCCACATGCCGTGGAGCAACTAAGCCTGTGTGCCACAACTACTAAGGCTGCACACGTAGAGCCTGTGCTCTGCAACAAGAGAAGCCACCGCAGTGAGAAGCCCGCGCACTGCAACGAACAGTAGCCCCCGCTCGCCTCAACTAGAGAAAGCCCACGCACAGCAATGAAGACCCAACGCAACCACACACACACAAAAGAAAAAAGAAAACAAACTTACGGTTACCAAAGAGGAAAGGGCTGGGAGAAGGATAAATTAGGAGTATGGGATGAACAGATACAGACCACTATGTATAAAATAAACAACAGGCATTACTGAATAACACAGGGAACGATATTCAATATCTTGTAATAACCTATAATGGAAAGTAATTTGAAAAAAATATATGTAACTGTATCACCTTTGCTGTATACCTGAAACTAACACAATATTGTAAATCAACTATACTTCAAAAAATAAAAAGTGTGCACAATGAAGCCCGGTTGGCTGCCCATCTCAGTTTCCTTTAGGTACACAGTGTCCTGTTAACTATCTCCATAGCTCTCTGCGGGTCATGTCCCCTTGGTTGCCACTCTTAACAATGCCACTTAGTTCTGTTGGTTAAGCGCTGCCACTTGGTCTCCATTTCTTCAGGATCCTGTCAGGCCTGTTGTTACCAGGAAGCCTAGCTCTGTAACAGTAGCTTCTGTCATCGGCCCAGGCCTGCAGAGAGGAGTGTAGTAGTGAGGCTGATGTCCCTTCCCCTAGTGCATTCCTTGTTGGCTTGTGCTAAGTGGCAGACCGTAGTCAGTTGGTGGGATGTACGCAGTATATCCCTCTAGCCTGCCCACTTCCCTGCGTCGTTTGCTCCCTTCTTCTGTCGTCTGCCATGACAGCTCCAGCCTTTCTGTTTCACCTAAGGTGGACCACTGCTTTCTCCAAGCTTCCTAGAACCATCCCAGCAACCTGTTAGCACTATCTCCTGGATTCCTTGCCAGGATGTAAATACTGTAGAACGGGAATATGCTCATGTCAGTAAATTCTGCTTTGTCTGGTGTTATGCTGTCCTCTTTCCTCCCCAATTCAGCACACTGGGGACTTGATCCCACACATATACTCCCAGCTTCTGCAAGTGTATATACGTTAGCTAGGTCCTTTAGCTCTTTCCGGTTGCATAGTACCTCTCCTCCTTTGGCAGGTCCAGCAATTCCTCAGTGGGGTTATTTTGTGACTTGGCTTTAGTTATTGGTCTGGTAGGAAATGTACAGGTAGATCCTGAGAGCCTTGCAGGGTAGAGACTTCATTTCCAAGCAGGGGGCAGGGCACTTCTACAAACCCAGCGCTCAGGGTGATGTGGGATTTTAAGGTGTCTCAGTGCCTTTACCCAGATACCCCATCCGAAGTGTCAGGACCCCTCTGCTTCCTGGCTACAGCCCTGATCTTGGCATAGCACACTTCCCAGAGCTGAGAAGTCAACCTTTTGGGAGTTCTCCTACGCTGCTAACTCAGTCCTGGGCCTGATCCCCCGCTTTTCTGCCTCCTCCCCCTCCCCCACCTCATTTATATGCTGCTAAGGAGGCACTCTAGCTTTCATCCTAAGCCTTTAGTTGGTGATTAATCACCCTCAACTTTGCATTGTCTTTTCCTGAAGCTTAGATTTACTCCATCGATAGCTATCCAATCCCGTAGTTCTTAAATTGCTATTTCCCCCATAGAGGGGTAGGATTCAGTAGAAAGAGAAGCTGGACTAAATGCAGTCACAGCTGAGGCCTCAGCTGACCCCTTGGGAGCTGATCCCTTAAGGGGACTCTGGAGTGGGAAGGGCCCTCCAGGGTGGTCTCACCCCGAGGCTGCATCTCCTGGTCATTTGTGCGGGCTCCCCTGGGCAACGGTGTGACCTGCTCCAGGTAGTTGTTTGAATGAGGGCAATTCCCGGAAAGGGGTTCTGTTGAGCGCTGTTGGCCACCAACAATTCCAGGGCTGGGGAAATGGGCGCCTCGGTCCTAAGAAGTTGCTTGCTCCTTGGCATGCTGGAGATGGGAGAGAGAAGAGAATAGAGGGGATGATCCTCTTGAAGAGCTCGAAGAAAAAGATTGGCAGATTGTTGCCTGACCAAGAAACAGAAGATGAAGGAAAGAGATGCATTTCAAACTATATCAAACACTAGTAGTTCCCCTAAACCCTCTTGTGCGGGACGGTGCAGAATGGGGGATGTTAGGACACAAAATTCTGTTTTACTCTGAAGGCCATGTCTTCCTACTAGACCAGAGCTAGTCAAACTGGTGCTCCATGGGCTAAGTTCAGATAGCAGACGTATTTTGTTTGGCTGCACAGTGTTTAAAAAACTGTGAATTGGCTGCCACTGTGTAAAAATTGGAAGAGTTTTATATGTAAGTTCAGAGCTCCTGTGAGTGATGGAAGATCTAGCAACACTGTGTCAACATTCCTGCAGGGCAGGAATTGACTGGAGTTGAGTGACAGCTGCTCCTTTACCTGAGGGGATGTGCTCCATAGTTCACCCGTCTCTATGTGTGAATTTCTGAACTTCTTTGGCATTTTTGTTTACAATTCCTGCTATACTGTGCATGATATATATAATAGGTGTCTGGGCACTTAATATTGGTTTAGTGGAATTGAATGAATTTGATTGGAGAGGAGGTTTGGAGTGACGTCTAGACCTCCAATTGTAATGAGAGGCTTGGCACTCAGGGGAGGCCCCGGGACAACAAGTGCTGATTAGGATAAATTAATGACATGCTGGCTGGAGCCTGCGTAAAGCAAGATGAGCAGAGGGCAAAGGCCTGAAGTTTGGGCGTTTTACCATAGAGTTAGAGAGGAATGGGGAATTAGGGGAACCAGAGAAGGAGAGGAAAGGGAAGCACAGAGGGACCTTGGCAATGAAATGTCACTGGAGGCAAGGGAGCCAAGAGTTTGGGCAGTTACATCCAGTCTAGCAAAAACGAGAGGAATGGACAGGCAAAAAGCCATGCCAACAGGGAAGTAATTAGGGACTTTCAGAGGAAGTATGAGAAAAGGAAAGATAGATTGTGGGTCTGGAAGTTCGGCCCCGAAGTAGAGGCCCTGGGATCCTTCGTGGGCATATGAATGAGAGCCTTTTGGGGGGGTCCTAATTGGGGAAGGCATAGATGGACATTGGTTTAATATTCATCCTTTTCTTCAATACTGTTAGCATCATTTCTGACATCATCTAAAAGAAATTAGTCAGTATTCATGTTGCATCCTTAAAGAATGGACAAAAGAACCATCCAGACTCTGTCCTCTTGTTCTATTGGAATGAAATATTAATTAACTTAATATGTATTTTGGACAATCACCAGCCGGCAGAGACTGGAAACTTCTCTCACAGATATATCTCTCTGTGTAAGTGCTATTGGCTTTGTGGGTTTTCTGTGGTAAAATTAAAATTCTGGTTTTGCTCTACCTTGTCACCCAGTTAGTGACCTACGTGGCCTCACTGGCTCTTAATTAGTATGTGCTCAGAATGTGTAAACTCACTTTAACATTAGCCTAAGTAAAGTGTATTGAGGAAGATGAAATTAAAAAGAACACATTCCAAAGTTCACGTTAGATATAGATAGATCATCCATTGTTTTGGATGTAAACCTGGAAAACCATCATGACCCAATTCCACACGAAATCATTTCAACTCTGGTATTGGGGGCACAGGGAACGCCTTTGTTTCAGAAGAGCCACAATCTGTCTCTATTGTCTTTGGGGTCAAACCACCTGGGTTTGCATCCTGACTCTGACACCTACCAACCAACTCTATGACTTCAGCCAAGTCACAGAACCTCTTGTGACCCAGCCTCATTACATGAGGGTAATGATGCCTATTGGAAAGCCTCGTTGAAAGAGTTAAATGAGAGGATGAATGTGTTGAATTAATAATGTATGCCAAGCCCTTAAAGGCTTTTTGAGGATGGTGAAACTTGAATCTTTCTATTATCAACTAAGCAAAAGTTTTATTAACTCGGGTGCCTATCAGTTCAGCAGAGGAAGTCGACTGGGATTCCGGAGTCTGAGTACTTTGCCATTGGGTCTAGCATTGGGATTTAAGAGAACGTTTAAAAAGAAAAAAATCACCGAATCTCCCTTGGCCTTACTTTTTCCTGTTACTCAGCAGGCTATAGTAGCTACGAAGAACCTGGAAACCTGAGGTTGTGTGCTTTATTTTTTGAGAGAGCTTAAGGCAGAGCATAGCTCTCCAGAAATCAGCGGCAGAGATCTGTGTGCAGGGAGAAATGCTAGCCTCAGGGCGCCCTAACTTCCAACCCGGGGAGCAATCCAAACTCGGAGGCTGGCGGGGGACGGGGAGTCTGAGGTGTTGGTGGGATGGGAGCGGATGCTCCCGGGTCAGCTCGGACTCTCTCCGGCTACAACCAGAGCCCGAGTCGAGGTGAGCCCGGCGGCGTAGAGGGACGCGCGCCTCGGGGCCCGGAGGAGTTAGGTGACGTCACCTCCAGGAGGACTCGCTTTTTCATTAATGAAACCGGCCGGAGCGGGCGCATGCGCTGCAGGCCCCCTTTCCTCTCGCTTCCCCCTCCCCTTTCCCAGCCGCGCTCTCAATCTCGAGCTCGCTCGCTCTCCCTCTCCCCGGGCCGTGGAAAGGATCCCACTTCCGGTGGGGTGTCATGGCGGCGTCTCGGACTGTGATGGCTGTGGGGAGACGGCGCTAGTGGGGAGAGCGACCAAGAGGCCCCCTCCCCTCCCCGAGTCCCCCTCCCCCGTCCCCCTCCCCCCAGCCTCCTCGCCAACGCCCCCTTCCCCTTTCCCCCTCCCGGCCGGGCGCCGGCCACCCATCCCCACCCCCGTGGGAACGTTCGGCGCCTGCACTCCTCAGACCCTGTCTTCGCCTCTCCCCTCACCTCAGCCCCCGCTCCCCGCCCTCCTCCCGGCCCTGGGCGCCGGCCGCCCGGTCCCTCCGCCGCCCCCCGGCCGCGGGGAGGACATGGCCGCGCACAGGCCGGTGGAATGGGTCCAGGCCGTGGTCAGCCGCTTCGACGAGCAGGTAACGGGCCCTTGGCCGGCGGGAGGTGGGAGCGGAGCGGGGGTGGGGACGGAGTGGGTGAGGGGAGGAAGGAGCGGCCGCCTCCCCCGCGGCCGCCTCCCCCGCGGCCGCCTCGGGCTCTAGAGGAAAGACTGGGGGGATAATTGGGGGTGGCCTAGGGGGGAGGTGCGGCAAGGAAGGGACAGCTGGTGGCTCGAGCTCCCCTTCCCTCCTAAGTCGGGGGTGGGGCCTTTTCCCTGACCACCCCTCCGACCCTCCATCCCCTTTATCCTAGCCCTTCCGCTTGCTAATAGGGATGAGTGACCTGGGGACGCTTCCAGGGGCTCTCCATGTGGATTTAATCATCCCCCCCCTTACTATTTTTTTGTGAACGGAGGTGGGTAACATTTAGGGGTTTCCTCTTGCCTCAGTGGATCTCCTAACTGAGGGTGAGTAACTGAAGGAACCCCCAAGGCCCGTCTTCTGTACCCCCAATGGGAGAACGATAACATCCCGCCCCTCCCCCAGTTTCTTCAGCTTCCTCTCTTGGAGGGGGAAGAGTGGAAGAAAGCAGGGAAAGCACAGGTTTTGTTACTTTCTGCTCCGTCGTCTCAGCCCGCCCCTAGAGCTCCGAGTGCACACACTCTGCACGTCTTTTTGATGCCCCACACGGGCGTCCCCCCATACCCTGATAAGACAAGACTGGCTTTTACATTGCCGTTTGCAGTGGAAACCATGGCTCTGGTTCCCTGCTGCTTCTGAAATATTTTTCTTTTTTTTTTTTCCCCTTCCTTGGTAGTTGCAGTTTCCCCCTTTATTTTCTGCCAGAGATCTGAGAATGTGAATGTTGCTTTCTATAGTGGGAATCTTGGGGATTAAGGGGAGAAGAGTGAAAGGAAAGTGGGAAACTGCATCTGAGCCACTGACAACAGAGAGCAAAGACAGCTGGGAAGTGGTCCTGAAGCCGTTAATTCTGCTAGTGTTTTGTTGTTTTTTTAAACTCTCACCTCTTAGCTGACAGGAGAACTTTCATTGAGAATATTTGAGATGGAAAAAAAAAGTTTCATAGCTTGGAGAGGTGCCTTTTTATTCCCTGAGCTTCAGACTCTAAATCCTGGGGCTGATCTGAATGAATGCACCCGGAGCCTTTTGTCAGTAGGATTTAGTTTAACTTTGTGTTGCTGTAGGTAGTTGGGGATCGTTTAAAGGGATGCTTTTTGCAGCTGCAGTTCTACCATGGGCTTCCTGTGATGAGGGAACTGTTTGAGATTGAGTCAATCTATTTTGTGTACTGGATATAATCATAAAACTGATTATGGGAGCTGAATGGGGGGAGGGCTCCACTTTTATTTGATCCATAAACATTATTTTATGGGACTTATAGTGTTTCTGACCTATCTGAAAGATATTTGGGAATAGGCAGAGGAATTGAGAAGAAATTTGAGAAGAAACTACTTAGATAAAATAGAATTATGAAGCTGTCAGAGACTTCAAGTTCTTTCACACATCCTTATGCTTCCAGACCAAAAAGTATGTAAACGACTGTGCTACTAATCTGTTTGAGGAAGTGAAACGTTACTGCATATATTGGATTGTATTATTGATAGAGCCTTAGATTTAAAACTTGAAAGAAAAGACTTTCTCTGTGTAATTTAAAAAAAGGATTTAAAAGACCCACAGAAGAACCCCAAAGCTGATCTGTGTGGACAGTTTAATCTGGGTGCGGGAATTTGATAGATTCACACCACGACTGTAGTTTCCAGGTTTTTTTTAGTTAAAAATATTTTCCAGTTTTTAAACTTTATTTCTTCACTTCTTACCTGTTGATCTTTAGGCTTATCTGCCACATATGACAAACATAGTTTTCTATATTTTAAAAGAGGAATGATTTTGATTATATGCCCAGTAATGGCAAGTAAATTTTTCCTTCTTTTTGTCCCCAGAGTTAAAAGACCTTAGGCTTTGTTGTTTGCTTTGTTATGAATATTGTGGAATCAAACTCACCACCATCTGTTAAAAAGTAAGGATGTAAGAATTTTAAACAGAAGCATTAAAAAAATATATTCCTTAGGTTGTAATTAAGAGAAAGATCCTTAGGACAAATTATTCCTCACATTTTTCTCTTACAAGGTTAAAGCCCACTGACTTTGAGATGTAAAAGTATAAGAGTTTCGGTGTTTAACATAAGGCATTTATATACATTAACTTATTATAGAAGTAATAAACGTTTAATTCAAATTAGAGTTTACCTTGAGATTGGAAAGCAAGAAAATTAAGGCTCAGAGTGGTTAAATGACTTTCCAAGGTCACATAGCAGACCTAATAATAAGAGCCTCAGTATGAAAAGCATTGAATGCTGGACAATCAGGAATAATTTTTCTGATAAGTATCCCATAGGATTTGTTTTAATAACCCAAAAGTATAGTTAGGAGAGAAGAATTTACCTTTTTATTTAGGGGGGAAAACAACCTGCATGTAGTGAGAGATATTTGTATGAGAGTCTTAAGCATTTCGACTATGTCTAAAAGTTTTAAATTTTAGATATATTGACTGTAATTTGTTTCACTGGGTCCGGGGGGAGGTGGGCTGCGTCCTTTTATTATAGCTAAGGCATGTGTTGAGGCAGAGATCATGTGCATGTCTAAAGATGGCAGCTCTGTTTATGATTGAATTGATGTTTTGGTTGGACTTCTAATATTTGTGGTGATTAAAGTAGAAATGCATTACTAGCCGCTGTTGATTATGTGTTGTACTCTGATGGGTATTGCTCAGCAACTTGGTGCAGTAGACCCAGTTTAAGCAAGTGGTAGTGTTCCATCTTGACATTTTGAGCTCAAGTCCTTGTTTCCAAGTGGGTAAAATAAAATTCCTGTAACCTGCTGGTATTGCAACTAAACCTAATATTTATGGCCTAAGTTGAACAATTCTTAACAATTTGAAAAGTAAGTACTGGACTTCCCTGGCAGTCCAGTGGTTAAGACTCCCGTACTTCCACTGCAGGTCATGCGGGTTTGATCCCTGGTCAGGGAAGATCCCGCATGCACAAACAAACAAACAAAAAGTAAGTACTTCCTTGATTAGGGATGGGAGTTGTGAAGGTGGACAGCTAGAAAGCTGAATGGATAAGTTATATCTTCTGCTTCTTCTTAACCTGCCTTTATGGTGCTGAGTGGTAAGTTTCTGAATTGAAATTGGCAAATTTTAGGTGTGCAGCTTTAATTTGTGGCTCATTATCCAGGTTACTTACAATGAGAGGGAGAACCTTCTTACATGCCTCACCTAGCTCCATATGCCCCACCAGTCTCTGTAGGACTTTGTTCCTGGAAAGGAGTATAGGAAAACTGGTCATATGAAGGTTTTTGTTTTAAGAAATTGAGAGAAGATATCACCAAATGATTTGCTTAAGTTCACTTAAGCACTTACATTTTCCATATCTGGTCAAGTAAAAATGGTATATAAAAAGCCAAAAAATAACATTTTAAAGAACATATTAGAGAGTAAACCCTGATTTTTTATTTTTAATAGTAGCATATTTGTTGTTGTAAATTGAACGCTAATCGGAATGTCCTTCGAATATGTGGTAGAAAATTCACGTTATAAAATGATTGGCAAGTGTCTTTGAAGTTACAAGCTACATGTTAATTGGCCAGATACATTTGTAAAACTTTGAAGTCATTTTGGATTAAAAAAAAAAATCTCCTTAGCTTTGTTCTTAAAGCTTGTTCTGCGTTTGTAAGGCCTTGTAAGTAGTTGAAAATGAATATTCTTTTGACAAGGGCTGTGTTATGGTGAGTGAGAAGAAAATGCTTATTCTTTATTCTGGAACCCATCTTTTAAAAACAATTTCCAACTGGTCCTCAATTAGTTCTCTGTGTTCCCTCACTCCCCCCACCTTATCTAGCATCTAATTCAGTCTTTATGTGAGCGCCTTCCTTTTCACCTTCAAACTTAGATTTTTTTTCTTTTAAACATTTACTTGGTCCTGTAGCTTTCTGTGTACAGATCAGTCTTCTTCTTCCTTTGTTGCCAGATACCTGCTGCCTCTACTGTTATCCACCTATATCCTTCAGAACTCTCTGAAAACTAGCTTTTGCCTCTGCTTTCCTTCTGGATTGCTTCTTTCCAGAAAGTGATTTCTTCTGGCAAAACAGTGGTTTTCTGATCAACTGTAATGCCTCTGTGGTGTTCCGTTACCCCTGGAAATCAGTGTTCTCGAATTCCCAAGACACAATACTGTCTTGTATGTACGCTTGCAGATCCTTATATGTTGATGTTCTCATCAATCCTTGTGCTTTCTCTATCATACCATGCTGCCCATTGTTGAACTGCGGTTCCTAAATGAGGGTCTGAGTTTTGTTCTGCTATTTACAGCCTCAGTCTTTATGCTAGCCATTAGATCTCTGTGGATCCTAGATTTCCTCATCTGTTGGAATTGACTAGAAAATCTGTACGATTTCTTTCTAGTTTAAATATTCGATGATTTTAATACTTTAACAGCATCTACCTGTGCCACAACAGTCTATCGGGAGCTGACCCCACTTAATTTACCTAATATTTTCTCATTGTGCCTCAGTGTGCACCTGTGTTCGAGGCAAGCTGGCTTAGTCTCTTCTGTGTATGTCAAGCTTATTCCTGCTTCTCAGCCTTTGTTTACACCAGCCCCTGCCTAAATGCTTTAATTCCGCCTTTATCTTTTTTTTAATTCCTGTCCACACTTAAATGGGCAGCTCAAGCTTCATTTTTCCCACGAAGTCTTTTTAGACTAAACTCACTGCAGCCTCACTTCTTGGTGTGCTTGTCACCTGGGGTTCTACAGAACCCCCCTTTAACATGTCTCCCTTTGGGAGGGTAGGCTGAACATAGTTCAGCATTGTTTTCTTTTATCTTTTTATCAGATAGAGTATAAACTTTCTTAAAAGCAAGAAGCCATGGTTAGAATTCCCCTAATAGTCACCCCAGGGCCCAGCACAGTTAGAAGCACACAGTGAGCCATTGATGGAATGTTTTTCATATGATTCCTG